AAAATGTATATATTTATTGAAACAATTCCAAGATAAGCATTTAGATAACCTAGACAGATCTAAGAAAACGGGACTGATCTAAATATTAAAAATATGGCAAAAAATTGTAATAATATAATGCGCATCCGGGGAATCGAACCCCGGTCAGTACCGTGGGAGGGTACTATGATACCACTACACCAGATGCGCTTTACGTTCAACTTCTCCGCTACACAACTATTCTCAGAAAAGCTTATAATTTAAGTATTTAGGTTCCAAACAGTTACAGATGCGCTTTTTTTCTTTTCTTTTTTTTTTTCAGTTATGGACCTATTTCATATCTACACCTATGGCTTAATTTTTGAGACAAAGTATAAAACTACTTAATAGTTAAACGTAGGGGCGTAGCGAGAATTTTTTTTCACTGTAGGCTGCAAAATATATATGTTGTTGCTATTCGAATAGAGTTGTTCTCTAATATTGTTTGATTCGACTTATATGTAAAAGTTTGAGCTTGACTTTGTTCTATATTTAAATAGACCAAAATCGAACAACTAATCGAGCTTGTCTATAAAACAATTCCAGTCGAGCGTGTTCGCGAATAGCTCAGTTAGAGTTTTGGGTTTTGTTCTAGGTTCAAAAGTTTATTAAATGAATTTAGCTGAGTTTATGCGAGTCGAACACAAAGTTATTTTTTTTTATTAAGCAGTTAAGCCACGACAACAACTCGTCTATTGAGTATAAGTTTGAACTTGAAATATTCGATTTGAAAAATATAGCTAGACACATGTTAAAGAAGTCAAAGTACGAAATTAATTTTTAAATTTAATATAAATTACCCGAATCACACAATAAATGTAAAATTTATTATATTTTTTATCTAGTCGTGTTTTATATGTTTATGACTCTCCTTAAACAAAAACTTGTGAATTATTAACTATTTTCTTACGGCGCCACTCGCTTTGTCCCGATTTGACCTCTTCTGGCGGCGGTGAGGCCGGATCTACAGCCGCCGCTGGCCGCCCTTTCCTTCCCTAGCATCGTTTCTCCTCGGTTTTGCAGCCATGCCTTTTTCTTCCGTCTCTCGCGTTCGTTGGGAGTGGGGGACCGGCGGCGGTTCCCGGTCGTAACCGGGGCTCGTCGGTGCTGCTCGTTGCGGTTGGGAGCCCCGTTTGTTGTACTCTGCCTTGGTCTGGTTTGTTTGGTGGGCTTGGTGCAGGGTGCATTTTGGGGGTTAGGGTTCGATTGGGGCTCAGCGGTTTCTCCGGCGGGGACGACTATCTGGGCTTGTTTCGGCCCAATTGGATGTCTGAGGTTGGTGGGTCAGGGCGATGGTTTGGGTTTTTGGGGCGCTTAGCAGAGGTTCAGTTTCCTGCTGGGTGGTTGGCAGTAGGGACGGGAGAGAGAAGGTGAGCCTGCGGCCGTGGTGGCGGGGCATCGATGGTGGTGGTTGGGAGGGGCTCTGGTGGCTGCTGTGTGTTGTCCGTGGCGGTTGCCGGAGTTGAGGTTCGGGCAGGGAGCGACTACCCCTGCGCATCTCCTTTTGGGTTGATAGGAATCCGGTAAACCGGAGATGGGCTAGTGGTGTTAGTCTAGCTCGAGTTCATCCGGTTAGGGTTGCTAGGCCGGTTCTCCTCGGTCAGTGGGTTCTGTCCTTTGGGTTGGGTTCGGGGGCAGGGTCCTACCTCTTGTTAGGCCTTCGGCAGTTTCGGGGGTTGGGACTTGGCTAGGGACCTAACCTAGAGTCGGTTGTAGTTGCTTCTTCGGTTTAGTCGGTTCTCCGGGAGAGGGTCGTTTAGTTTTCTACTTCCGGGTTTGTTTTGTAGGTTGTCCTTTTATTTTGCTCAGTGTGTTTGTTCGTTTTTGTTTCGGAGATGAATACGGGCTAGGCATTCTGCAGTGGCTCTGTTTTTCATTTTCCTTTATTTTTCGTTTGTGGAGTTCTCTAGGCCGCAATGTGCGTGTCCTATCAGGTTTCTATTCCTATTTGTTTTAGGAGTGTTTTTTGTTTTGGCCGTTGGCCCCTGTCTCATTACCCTGTTGGGGCATTAGATTACCCTGTTGGGGTCTTGTAATTTGTTCCTTTGCACTTTTGTGCTCTTCTATATTATCTCTATCGTTCCGGAAAAAAAAAAATAACTATTTTCTTACACATGACAAATATTTATTTTTTTATTATTTCTTCATTTTTTTCTTAAAAATGTACAAAGATAAATTTAATTTCTCATGTGCATGAATTTAATTAAAAAAACTATAAAGAGCTACTATAAAACGCTATAATGGTCTTGTCATTCTTGTTACATGTTATGTCATTTCATTGAATTTGTTAGATAAATAAATGAGATTTAATAGTAAATTT